TTAAAAAATTGAAAAAAGTTTATATAAGGTTGCAACCTTAAAATGTAGAATTACATATGCACCTCAAAAATTCATCAGAAAATGTTATTTTAATGTTGAAAAATCCTTTAATTGATTATCTCAACATCGAGTTGTATGAATATATAAAAATCAAAAAAGATATTGAGTCTCAAAAATAGTGCATCTTGCAACACTTTATTTAGATCGTCCATTTTCAAGATGTTCATATATTTATAGATCTACTTGATTTTAATCATTTTTGAAGTTTAAAATTTTATAATTAGATATGAAAATAGATTTTTAGATAATCCTAAGAATTTTTTATACCAAAATTACATGTTATGATAAAATTTGAAGGTGTGCCTTAATTGGATTGTTTAAGGTTGCAACCAGTGATTTAAAAAACGGATCGGTGCCCTGAATCGGGCACCTCGAAAACCTATATGGATCGGTGAAGCGGCTATCCAGATCGGGAATCGATTGAATCGGTCGAATTAAGCCTTAACAAAAAATCCAAATAAATTATTAAAATTCACTATAAATGTTGTTTTTTAGAAATCCGATAAAAAATGTGGGTACTACATTATTAACTTTCACTTTTTTCATCAATTTACGAATATTGAGATGTTCTTTGCATGTATGTACTTATGTTAACCATTAAATTTGCATCACACAAAAGAAAAATCATAGAATTATCATGGATGAAGTATATAATCATACATAGACTGCAATAAAGAATGGAATAAATCGATGAAAAATGGCCACTAAAATCTTGAATTGGCGGAAAATCCTAATATGCTAAAAAAACCCATATTATTACAACCTAACTAACTATAATTCAAAACTATTACAACCTATCTAACTATAATATTATATACTGAAATTGAAATTGTTGGTTTGCATTTATCATTATTTTATTATACAACTAATAACAAATTCGAAATATCTTATAATATCATCTAATTTAAAATATATTATTGATAGTTGTAAGAAAAATAGTACATTACATGATTTATAATGCAAATAAATTAATAATTTAAATAAAAGATTTGGTTATCAATGTAGAAATTATTAGAATGCGTGCCAATTTTCGAAATGACACTTTAATTTTTTAAGTTTCTAGAATAAATTTAGTGGAAGAGATTTTTAGTAGAGAGATTTCAAATGACCTTATTGTATGAACCCAATTTAAATTAATATTCCTAAATTTATGTTAAAGATCATCATGTTATAAAAACAAAAACTATAATTACATCATTTATTCCTAGGTTGTATTAAGAGATACTTGCATTAATAAATACTTTTTATTTTTTTTGACAATAAATATTTGTTGTATTACCTTTTTTTTTGCAAGAAAAATATGATACTTGTTGTATAAATTTTTATTTATTTTTTGACAAAAAAATACAAAGATTTTGTACTACATTTTATTTTTTTTTGTATTACTTTTTATTTTAGTTTTTGACAAGAAATACTTGTAATATTACTTTTTATTTTTTTTTGACAAGAAAAATAAAAATATGTTGTATTACTTCTTTTTTTTTTTACAAGAAATGCTTGTTGTATTACCTTTTTTTTTTCCTTTTATTTTGTTTTACAACACTGGTTTCGAACTTTAGACGCGTACGCTAAAATCAAGAGAGCTAACCAACTGCACCACATCGTTGCATAATGCTTTTCCATCCATAATAAATGTATACATTATATTACTACCTCAACTCTTATATTAGTCCCACATCGAAGGACGAGTATAATATGTTGCTCTATAAATAGCTGTGGAATAGGATGTTTGTGTGCGTGTGAAAACACGGGGGCAAGGTAAGAACTAAATCACTGCCACGTGTCCACTCGCCTAAATCATTGCCACGTGTCCACTCGCCCGAGTAACGATTTACTTGATTTACGATTGCAAATCGCCAAGAACCAGAGAACCAGCTCTCAGTGAGTCTTGCTCGATTTACTGTTGCAAATCGCTGAGAATCAACGAGTCTTGCTCCTCGGGGCTGCCACGTGTCCACTCACCCTAGTAACAATTTACTCGATTTACGATTGCAAATCGCCAAGAACCGGCTCCTGATTTACTCAATTTAGGGGCTACCACATGTCCACTCGCCCGAGTAACGATTTACTCGATTTACGATTGCACATCGCCAAGAACGGGCGCCCGATTTACTCAATTTACGATTGCAAATCGTCGAGAACTGATGAGTCTAGACCAACCATTGCAAATCGCCAATTTACGATTGCAAATCGCCGAGAATCGATGAGTCTAGACCGACTATTGCAAATCGTTGAGGCGATTCCTCTCTAGACTTGCCTGATTTTCGATATTGCGCAGCCCTATTTCTGACCTACTATTGCAAATCGTCGAGGCGATTCCTCTCTAGACTTGCCTGATTTTCGATATGGCGCAGCCCTATTTCTGACCGACTATTGCAAATCGTCGAGGCGATTCCTCTCTAGACTAGCCTGATTTCCTGCGATTCCTCTCTAGACTCGCACGATTTCCGATATTGCGCAACCCTATTTCCGACCGACTATTGCAAATCGCCGAGGCGATTCCTCTCTAGACTTGCCCGATTTCCGATATTGCGTAGCCCGATTTTCGATATTGCGTAGCCCGATTACCGATATTGCGTAGGAATCGGCACGGGGTAGCCAATTCCCGAGTCTAGACCGACTATTGCAAATCATCGAGAACCGGGGATTCCTCTCTAGATTCGCTCGATTTCCGATATTGTGCAGGAATCAGCATGGGGGTAGCCGATTCCCGTGTCGACTCGGGTTCTTGACGAGTCTAGACCGATTTACTATTGCAAATCACCCGGGTTCTCGACGAATCTAGACCGATTTACTATTGCAAATCGTCGAGAACCGGCGATTCCTCTCTAGACTCTCCCGATTTCTGATATTATGCAGGAATCGACACGGGGTAGCCGATTCCCGTATTGACTCGGGTGATTTCGGGTCGACTCGCCGACTTTTAAATCCCTGGTTGCAACCTTTAAGAAACTACAACCCTTAAAAAATTAGTTTATATTTTTGTACCATCTACAAAAAGGTCCAGAGTCTTTAANGTTTTTTTTTTTTTTTAGCATGGAGCAAGTGGACATTTTTTTTCCTTTTTTTTTCTTTTACCTTATTAATATTTAATTAACTT